ACACACACACACACACACACACACACACACACACACACACACACACCCCATTGCTATTAGTCACATTATTTAGTCAGCAGTTATGATTCAAAACAGTCCAGCAAAGAATGAAACCAACATAAAGAGAGAATAAACAGAATTGTCTGTGTACTTAGGAACAAATGAATTATATAAGCACAGAATATGGGAATTGTGACAAGCCCTTGAAAAAAGCTTGGGTTTTAGTTGACCACTAGCTAATTGTGAATCGGTCTGAGGAGGCAGTTAAAGCTTCATCTATGTTTCTATATTAACAGAAGAGTCTTGATCAAAGCCAAGCCATCATCATCATGTATACTGTTCTTCTTGTTAGCTGCCATCAAGTTGGTTCTGACTCATAGCGACCCTCTAGGACAGAGTAGAACGCCCCAGAGGGTTTCCAAGGAGTGGCTGGTGTATTTGAACTGCTGACCTTTTGGTGAGCAGCCAAGCTCTTAACCACTGCGCCACCAGGGCTCCATCATATATACTGTACCACTGCAATTTCTTATCTAACTCCCAGCTTCAATCCTTAACTACTTCAAATTCAGTCTATTCAAGAGCGCAGTGTCCTTGAGAAATTTGGACACTAGTCCTCTGCTTAACATACTATAAAATATAAAAGCTTCTCATTGCATGCAGTATACTTTACAGTCTTCACCATGACTTACAACGCTCTCTCCGTGTCCCTGCTGACCTTTCAGTTCTCATCACAGCTCTGTGATATTTGTTTACTGTGCTTCAGCTTCACTCCTCTTCCAGTTCCTAGCAGGTACAAGGTCTCAGGGCCTTTCTATATGCTATTCACTGTACCTGGAATACTCCCTGCTCTTCTTCTGTAAAAACTCCTTATCCTTAAGGTCTTAGCTTAAATGTTTCAGGGCAGTTTTGCAACCCCCATTCCCAGTCTACATTATTAGGTTTTCCTTACTATTCTTTCTAATGGTCTCTGTTCTTTTTCCTTCATAGCGTTACCTGAAATAAGTAACTATATATTTATGTCCTTAATGACTAACTCTACTAATCAAGCTGTAAATTCTATGATGTCTTGCCTATGTTGTGTACTACAACATACCTATCTATATAGTGGCACATACTAGGTGCTCAATACCTACTTGCCAAAATAACACATTAGGAGCTTACTATTTAAAAAGCCAGGTAGCTCCCTGTCACTGAAAGTATATAAATAGAGACAAAATTTGTCAGGATGTTGTACAAGTGGTTCTGTATTGCATGGGAGGCAATGTAGCCATTCCTAAGGTCATATGTCTATGCTGATTACTGTATCTCCAAATCATTCCAGTTACCTTTGCTTGCAACTTTTACCTTTTTCCCCATAATATGTCACTGATCAAGTCCTACTGATTCTTCAGTGGCATTCTCTCTTACTGTCTATCCTTTCTAATCCAATTTCATCTCTCCTCCTCAGTTTATCTCACAAATGGACTATCATAATGACCTCCTAATTTATTTCTCAGTCTCTGCAGTCCTCCTCCCTCTAATCTATCCTGTGGAGTACTGCAAGATTAATGTTTCTAAAATACTGCTTTCAGATGTTTCCTGGCTGAGAAATATTCAATGGTGCACTCATATAATAAATGCAATCTTAGCCTCAATTTACTTATCAAGCTTTATCTTCCTTTATTGCCCTACTTGAACATATAAAGGCAAGCTAACTTATTATAAAACCAAAAAACACTCACTGCTGTCAAGTCAGTTCTGACTCACAGCAACCCTATAAGGACAGAGTAGAACTGCTCCATAGGGTTTCCAGAGCTGTAAATCTTCACAGAAGCAGACTGCCACATCTTTCTTCTGTGGAGCCACTAGTGGTTTCGAATGGCTGATCTTTTGGTTAGCAACTGAGCACTTTAACTACTGTGCCACCAGGGCTCCCAATTTGTTATGTGTTACTAGAATAAATATTGCTATTTCTTGATCTTATTTCATGTCTTATGCTGTTTCTCCACTTGGACTACCTCTTCCTTGTGTCTTAGACCTGATTTTGCCATTAACTACCCAGTGTCACTGAGTCGATTCTGACTCATACTGATCCCATAGGGTTTCCAAGACTGTACATCTCTATGGAAGCAGACTGCCACATCTTTCTCCCACAGAGTTGCTGGTGGTTTTCCAACTGCTGACCTTTTGGTTAGCAGTCGACTGATTTAACCACTGCGCCACCCGGGCTCCTCTGCCATTAACTAGTCTAGGATAAATTAATCTCTCCAGATCTTGGTCCCCAATTTTAAAAGAATGTTGGACTAAATGATTTCTAACTCTTTCCTGCAATACTTTATTTCTTTAAGTTTTCTAGTTAAAATGAGTAATGTAAAAGAGAATAACTTACATATGTGGATTACAAAAATTATTTCGTTAGTTTTTAAGCTTGACTATGAACTACATGAGGGCAGGGACATGTTTTATACTTTTTATTCTGCTCATGGTACTTAACACACTGCCTTACAGGTAGTAGACCAATAATGAAAAACTCTGCTTCAATAAAACCAAAACATAAAACAATTCAAAACAAACATACTTACTCTCCCATAGGCCATGGCGGACAGCAACATAAAGGAGGGAAATGTTTCTGTTGATCTTTGGCTTCAAGGATTAATACCAGATTTGGATACCGGGTAGTTAGATAATTGGTAAGGAATCCCATAAAGTTGTAAATGACATAAGCTTCATAGCATTCTCTGCAAGTATCCACATATATTGCAATGCTGGGATATTTCAAAGCTATCCACTATGAAAAAGCACAAATGTTAAAAATAGTTGCTGCTAAGATAAAATAATCATCCCAATTCATGATATTCACGATGAATTAATTTTTAAATTTGAGATGTGAGATGTCTTGTCACATACTTACATCAGACTCTCTAAAATTTATAATTACGAGGGCTACCAATTTGTAAAATGAATTTTTAAGAGCAAGAAACGTTTTGGATATTGGTAAACAAAAGGAAAAGTGTTTGGGATAAATAATGAATATGAAGAGGAGCTAAATTAAGTTCTTGAGTTCTTAAATCTGAAATTTATCTTGACACAGTCACAGAAAATGGTATCAAAGACCTTTCCTTTATAGTTACTCAAATTAGAGCAACTGTCTGTAACCACTGTGTATGAGAGAACCCAAAGGGGAAGGTTTTTGTTGTTGTTGTTCAAATATAACCAAACTCATTGCCATCGAGTCAATTCTGACTCATAGGGACCCTGTAATGACAGAGCAGAACTTCCCCATAGCATTTCTAAGGCTGTTAATCCTTACAAAAACAGACTGCTACATCTTTCTCCCTCGGAGCGGCTGGTGGGTTTGAACTGCTGACCTTCCGGTTAGCAGCCGAGCACTTTAATCACTGCACCACCAGGCTCCTTGTTCAAATATAAGATTTAACAAATAAAAAAGGTGAACATAAGTTAAAATATTACACTATTTAAAGGACTAAGAGCTACTGAAAATTTAAAAGATTAAGCAAAGAAAACAGCTACAGATTTTTAAAAAAACCACATTTTTCACTTCGTATTGTTATACTTACTCCTCTTTAAACATTCAAAACAATTACCTTTTCACTTTTTGTATTAATCTGACCCCTTATTACCAATAACATACTTTCGTTACCTTAAGCATTCTGTAAGTATAGCTAGTATCATCATATGAGTTCTTAGTTAATGAGATAAAATGAAACATACTTACACTATCTAAACTGTATATGGGTACCATCCAAAGAATCCTATGTGGAAAGCAAAACATAAAAACATTTTACACTACATTTATGGGCGGGGGGGCACCAAAACACCAATACAACATTAGTAGAATCAAAACATATAAGGATTTACCTTATTATTGGTTTTTGTAGTTCAGGTTGTGTATAATGCACTAAGTGTTGCAATATCACCCACAGAGATATAGGTATAGTCAATAGCAAAAAGATTCCAGCAATAAACCAAGCCTTAGTGTGTATCCCAACCTTAAGAAGCAAAAGAACGTATTAGTATAAATTCTGTTATTAAAACCAAAGAGCTAAATATATTTATTTCTTAAATTTTCATTTCTTTTATTACTAAGGAGGTTGAGTATTTTCCATATGATTAGTGGCTATTTTATTTCTTCTTCAATAGACAGTCTATTTGTGCTTTTTTGGAGGGAGGGGACATACTTTTCCTCATGGAGCTGAGCATTTTTTCTCATGGGGCCTTCTATAAGCGCTCTTTATACATTGAGAACATTAAAATCATGTCACGTCCCCCACCCCCGCTTTGTCATTTGCCTTTTATAAATTTGATTATAATGTTTAATTTTCTGTAAGTCAAATCTAAAACTCTTTTTCTATCTATTACTTGGCTTTTATACCTGGAAAGTGAAACACTAATACATTTTCTTCAAATTTTACTGTTAAATTTAGATGGGAAAAAATTCATGGTGAAAACTGTAATGTCCTTTTTATTTTCAGAGGGATTCATAGAGGGGTTGGCGCTCTTTTTTTAAATCAAGGGTCAGATACTAAATATGCTGACTTGTCAGGCCATATGACATCCTTATAATCTATGGCAACTAGTTAACTCTGCCCTTGTAGGATGAAAACAGCTATAGACAATACATAAATGAATGAGCATGACTGTATTCAATAAAACTTTATTTACACAAACTGTAGGCCATAGTCTGCTAACCCCTCCAATACACTGTTGTTGTTGTGTGCCATCAAGTTGATTCTGACTCATAGTGAGGTTAAAGGCAGAGTAGAATTGCCTCATAGGACTTCCTAGGCTGTAATCTTTACAGGAGCAGATCTCCAGGTCTTTTCTCCTGCGGGTGTGAACTGCCGACTTTTCGGGTTAGCAGCCGAATACTTAACCACTGCATCACCAGGGCTCCTTTCCAATACACTAGTGGTTTTCAAATGAGGACTCTTCAGTGATGCCTCAGTGGCTACCTCGGGCATAGTGAGGTTGTATGACTTCCACACTTGCTTTAACCAGAACATCTGAAAAAAATGTTTTAGACTGAGTGGGAATACCCCTGGTTCTGGCAAGAGAATGGGCTAAGACAACATGAAAACTCTTCTATGAACCCCTAAAAATTGCAGGAGAAAAGATTATTTTTTAAAGCATAGTTAAGCTCAGAAGAAAAATAAAGGAAAGGGTGGCAGTGGTTAAGCTCTAGGTCCCAGAACAAGTGCAATGGCCGCCTGGGAAACTGTTAAATCACCATCATCTAGGGACATGGATTTTAAGGAATAGAAGGATTTGGACCAGGTGATTCAAAATTTGGAAATGAAACTCTTAAATAAAAAGCCAGGATCCTTGAAGCGCTGCACTCTCAGTGAAAGGGCAGAATCGAAAACATCCACCTACCAACACAGGATTAACTAAGAAACTTGGGTTTGAGAAGGAAGTCTCCAGAGAACTCAAATCTTAGTGCTAGTGCCTCACGTAGAAGTGGGGTTTTAATAAACACAATCTCTCGATATCACATTTGCAATTCAGGAAATTAACATAATAACCGGCTCCTGGTCAGTGATAACCTGGAGTCTCCTGGCAGATGCAAACTGTTTCTACAACCAGAACCAAAGAAGGGAGTCTCATGGAAAAACGAGGCCCTATTAAAGTAGACACAGTGCAAAATTATAAAACACAGGAAAAAGCAATCTACCCCCAGCAAGAGTCATCAGATGAACAGGAAGATTATGGTCCCAAGAATTTGGTATAATAGAACAACTTCAAAGAGAATATGCATATACATCCAAAATGATTTAAACAAGAAATCTAAACCCTAAGACAAGAACACCACAATATTAAAAATTACACTAACTGGAATTTAAACCTTAGGGGACAGGTTAAGCAGAACAGATACAGTTGACAATAATTTAAATGGACTGTAGATCAGAAGAAATTATCCTGAATGTAGTAATGATAGCAATGTATTAAATGAAGAGGTTGCAACACATGAAAGATAAAATAAGGTCTAAAACCAAACCAAACCTGTTGCTGTCGAGTCAATTCCAACTTATAGTGACCCTACAGGACAGATTATTACTGCTCCATAGGGTTTCCAAGGAGCGGCTGGTGGATTCAAAATGCCGACCTTTTGGTTAGCAGCCTGAGCTCTTAACTACTGTGCCACCAAGGCTCCAAAATAAGGTCTAATCTATGTCTAATAGGAGTTCCTGAATGAGAATCAAGAGAATGAGATAGCCAGTATCTAAAGAAATAATGGCAACGGACTCTCCAGAATCGATAACCTGCTTTTTTTCCCCACTTATCACGGATTTTAGGGTTTTTTTTTTGGTTGTTTTATTAGTCATACTATCATTTTAAAATGTCTGCATAATCTTGTTGAATAGATATGCATAATCTATTTAAACCAGTCCCTTTCAAGGAGTATTTAGGTTGTTTGCAATCTTTCACTAAGGAACAATATACACTATGAAAACAATACTACCAGGAACATGTTAATAAATAAATCTATGCATGTATGAAAAAAAACAGTGAAAGCTTATTGAGTGCTTGCTCTTTGCCTCACACGTGGCTAAGTTCCTTACGTGCATTATCCCATTTAACTCTCCCATTTGGTAAGTAATGTCACAGGTATGGTATCCCTCTTATATATAACAGTATCAATTTAGGATGTTTTCATTTAAAAAATCCCTAATTTCTTTTTATAGGTCAATCTGATCAATACTTCTATCCTTTACGCACTCAATTTCTAAATATATACTTTGAACCACCTTATCCTAGAGTTCAAGTAATCTACTTGCCTTCTGGTATTAGTTTGTATGGGAAAAACAATTTTATTTAAACCTCTGTTCCATTTGAAAGGCCTGAGGTAATGAATTTTATGCTAATTTGTAACCCTGCACTGAAGAGTATGAGTCCTCTCCTTTTTTTTCTTCAGTGTATCTTATGGATTGAATTGTGTCCTCCAAAATACGTGCTGAATTCCTGGCTCTTGTACCTATGGATGTGATCCTGTTTGGAAATAGGGTTTCTTCTTGTTATGTTAATGAGGTCATACCAGGGTAGAGTGGATCATAAACCTAATCACTTCTGATTTATAAAAGGACGAGAATAGACACACACACACAGAGAAGGGAGACAGATGCCATGTGAAGATCATCTACGAGCCAAGGAACACTATGGAACCAAGGAAAGCCCAGGACTACAACACCATGGAGACCCTGCCTTGGGCTTTCAGCCTCCAGAACTCTAAGAAAACAAATTTCTGTTCTTTAAAGACACCCACTTGTATTTATGTCATAGCAGCACTAGTAACTAAGACAATGCAAGTGCTAACTTTTTAAAGGAGAAAAGTGGGCATTTATTTTTAGTACTTGCAGGGTTTAGCAATTAAACATTAAAATAGAACTGAAGTCTAAACCTTCTAGTTTCACAGTCTAGAATGAGATTTTTTTTTCCCCATCAGAGGCCAAGGATTAAGGAGGCATAGAAAACAGCAAATGTATTTTTACTACAACATATGGAAAAATTAAAACTTGAAAAATTGAAAAACAAAACCAAAAGTCTTGAACACTAGGGAGCAAAGAGAATTAATCAAAGCACTTAACTGAAAAGCAAATAGGTGGAGGTGAAGATTCTGAAAAGAATGTCTGAGCGCTGATTTTCCAGGGCTTTTTGCCTTGCTCATTTTCACCTAAAATTAAGTATTCATTCATTTCAATGATGATTAAAAAATATACATTTAAGCATAGTCTGGATCTGCCCTATTATAAGGTGATCATCAAGAACAGTACTGCAAAGTTATTTCAATGCCCACATTTTTTTTTCTTGACTTAGTGCCAAAAAGTAGAATTCAGTGGTAGACTTAAAGACAGAAATGATATGACTGTGACTAATGAAGGCCAGCATTCTGTAAGGAAGAACATTATTTTTCAAGCAGTAATAAAACACGTGCCTAGGGAATTGAGACATCACAGTATCCAAAACACACTGCCATTGAGTCAATTCTGACTCACAGCATCACAGCAGAGTCATGTCAAATTCAAAAAGCCCTGGACCATAGATTTGTTGTTGTTGTTAGGTGCCGGTGCATTGGTTCTGACTCATACCAACCCTATGTACAAGAGAAGGAAACACTACCCTGTCCTGCACCTTCCTCACAGTTGTTGCTGTTTGAGCCCACTGTTGTAACCACTGTGACAATCCATCTTGTCGACGGTCTTCCTCTTTTTTGCAGACCCTCTACTTTACCAAGCATGATGTCCTTCTCCAGGGACTGGTCCCTCCTGTTAACATGTCCAAAGAACGTGAAATGAAGTCATCCTTTCAAGGAGCATTCTGGCTGTGCTTCTTCCAAGATAGATTTGTTCATTCTTCTGGCAGTCCATGGTATGTTCAGTATTCTTCAACAACACCATAATTCAAAGGCAGCAATTCTTCTTTGGTCTTCTTTATTCATTGCCCAGCTTTAGCATGCATATGAGGCGACTGAAAATACCATGGCTTGAGTCAGGCACACCTTAGTCCTCAACCTGACATCTTTGCTTTTTAACACTTTCAAGTGGTTTTTGTAGCAGATTTCCCCAATACAACATGTTGTTTGATTTCCTGACTGTTGCTACCATGGGCCTTGAATGCGGATTCAATTAAAATGAAATCCTTGATTATTTTAACAGCTACATTAGTGACACTGATTGCATTCTTTGAGTTGTTCAACCATTCTCACCGTCCTTTTCTAAGCTGTTCCTCCCTCATTAACATAAAGTCACTGCCCTCTAAGGTTCCTATCTAATCTTTTGAGTTGCTGTTTTCAATTTGATCCCATGTAGATAATTCTTAAAAGAGCATAATGTTCAAGGCAGGCCTTTTTTACTAGTTAAGCTAAACTACTGTTCAGTTTTTAAGATGACTTCAGGAGATATTTTTAGTTTAAGGTTTATTTAAAGATTTATTTATTGAGATTTATTTAGAGATTATCTCAGGGCAATAGTTTCTGGGGTTCATCCAGCCTCCA